AAAATGAAATGAAATAAAATAAATGCAGTGAAATGAAATAAGTGCAGTGAAAATGCCCTGGCTTGGTAAATTCCTAATAAATAGTAGTAACAATAATAGCAACATCAGCTTCATCATCACCACCTTAGTCATTCAGAGTAGCCAAGTACTAGAACTAAGCAGTTCTGATTACTGTCCTATCCAAAGCCCTTCTACTCCTATGCAGAGTTTTTAGGAATCAGGAAGTAGTGGAGCAGAAAGGAGCCCTTTCCTTTCTCCACTTAATAACCCCCAACACTGAGAATCAGAGAACGAAAATCATGCAGCTAATGTCACAGCTCATTATTGAAAGACCCAGGATGTTACCCAGACCTCAGGAACCCATGCCTAGTCCCATGACTCTTACATATAAGATCTTCTTTCTCCTTTCAGTTAATGTTCCATAGGGATTAGTATAATACATCAAGGACCAATGAAATGTAGATATAAGGCAGAAAAAGATCAAGAGACCCTGAGTGCAGCCATTTTGACCAATATCAGACCCTAACCACTCTGAAAAAGGAAGTCACCAGCAACTTAAGAGCCAGGACCACCTAATGATGGATGAATTACAAAGCCAGATGCCCTACAAACTGCGCTTAACTTTTCTGTTACAGAAGTTTATAATTAACAGAAGTTTATAATTATGACTCGACCTTCAGACATCGCTGGTCATGCATAGCTATTTTCCAGTGGAGTTTTTGAACACTTAGAAAATTACCATTGCACCATAAGCGGGTCCCCAACTGCTCAAGAGAGACCCCTGCTGTGGAGTAAGAGTTATTGTCCATGTCTCTCAAACTTTCTGTCCTGTTGGCTTGCTCTTAAATTCTTTTCCTGCATGAAGCCAAGAACGTACTTGGCAAGTTCAGGCAGCTTTCCTCCCTTCATTGGGGTATCCCTTGAATTAAATATACACAAAAAATATCAGACTATAATCAAGATAGAAAAATATATGATAACCTAACATGGCATTATATGTGAAACGCCTACATGGCTCTAACCAAAAATGCTATTTGAGAGAGAGCAGTGAAAAGACTTTGTGCAGGCATACTTGTGAGAAACTGAGGCAGAATCCCATATGGCCGGGTTAGTTGTGGGCCTAACATGACTAAGGCTTTGGCTGGAATAGCATTTCCAGACTGTGTTGAGGAATTAAGGTTGACTTTATAAGGCCAACGAAAAGCCCTTTGGAAAACTGGCCAGATACCCGTCAGTAACCTTTCCTGATCTGTGGTAAGTGAGGAAGGTCACTTGCTGATGGGTCCGGGAATGGTAATGTGCTAGGGGACCTCAAGAGAAGAGGAATTTACCCAATGCCTACAGGTATCTAATGGCACAGATGAAACCTGGGCTCATAAAAGGCTTTTGTAAAGTCCAGCCTGAGAATTCCTTATAAAAGGCTTCAGCAAAAACCCCCTGACTTAAGGCCTACATGGGAGCAGAAGTTTGCACACAAACTCCTGTATGCCTAAGAAGTTTCTCTATGCTTTGCTTAAAGATTCAAAGTAACTGCCTCCAAATGGCATGATCAGTAGAACAGACATTCAAATCATCTCTTTCCCCGTAGCCTCAGGCTTCATCAGATAAGAATGAAGAAAGTAATGACTGACAACATGTTCTTTATTAAGTTATGTTAAACTGGGTTATGTTGAAAGGGTTATGCTTAAAGGTGTATGTTGGGTAGATTATCAGATTACCAGGGAGGAGCTACTTACATGGCATGGTCAAGATTTTTAAATGGATTAATGAAGGCATTGATGTCCAATGCACATGTGCAGAGGGATTGTAATGAATGTTAATGAGATCATTGCTGTATAGTGCTCATGCACAACATTGCCTATATAAACCAACTGTAAATAAAGAAACCTTGCCATTTTGCCTGAGCGAGCAAATGGTCACCTTTATTTAAAACACAATTTCAATAAAAGTGCTTATTCTCCGCAACATCATTTTTCTGTGAGACTCTTACTGCAACATGGCATATTAGGTAACATGTAATTTTACTAATGTAAAACAGTAACAGTATGTTCTAATAACAGAGTTAACAAACCACCATGCTATTGGACTAAATATTGATCAGTTGGACCATGGCAATATGGGAAATCAAATATTCAGAAACACTTTCTGTGCTGGATGTTCTCTGTTTACCTCTCCAGATCATTCCCTATCTTTCTCTCCTTTGCTTTATGCCCAGGAAGGCTGATCTCTGTGGACATATCAACCAGACTTCCCTCAATTCAGCCAATGGGAAGCAGTAGAGGAGACCATAGGGCACAAAGAAGCAGAGTCAGGAGTATTCAGTACCCCAGGCCCTCCTCACTGGCTCCGATTTTAAAGGCCTGAATTCTTCTGCCTTTGGTAATACTCTCCTATAGTTACAGCTCCCACCATCTGCTACTCGAGAGGAAGTAATGACTCCCTACTTGTTCCTAGCTCTGAGTACTTCACTTCACCTGTTCCTTGTAGACTCCTCCTCCTCACCTTTGTTAATATCCAATACTTCTTCCGTGAGCCCTTATGAGCCTGACTCACAAACATTTGGGGTTTCAACTTATTTTACCAGAATGATCCAGGAAAATCCAAGTTGAGAGATTAAGATATTTGTAGGTTGATAATTGTCCCTCAGAAAGAAAATATATAAAAAAAATCCACCTACATATTATTTATAAGTGACACATGTGACTCAAACATATAGAAAGGTTGAAAGCTAAAGGATAGATAATATAGTAATATAGCTGTTTTAGTTATATAACTATACCAAAATACCTGTATATTAAGTCAAAGCATGATTAAGGATGAAAAGACTCTCCTAAAAAAGATAAATTGTATAATTTACTAGAAATATGTCACAATTTTAAATATTGATGCATTAATTATATAGTCTCAATATATACAAAGTAAAAATTATAGAATTATGAAGAGATAGTCACAATTCTCAATCATCATAGAATATATTAACATTCTTCTCTTCATAATTGATAGATCATACAAACCAAAAGAAACAAGAAATTTACCAGCCTAAGCAAGAGCAAGACCTCATCTCTACTAAAAAATAAGAAAACTAGCTGGGCTTTGTGGTGGGTTGCTGTAGTCCCTGCTAATCAGGAGCCTGAGGCAAAAAGTATTGCTTGAACCCAGGAATTTGAGATTGTTGTAAGCTATGATACCCAGGATAATGGAGTGAGACTCTGTCTCAAAAAAGAAAAATAAATTTAAGATACGTAAGATCTGAACAACCCAATAAGCCCCATCTAATAGTCATATATATATGAAGCTCAGTAACTAACAAGTAGAAAATATGTGCTTTTCTCAGATATAAATGGAACATGTCAGAAAAGAAGTGTGAACAAATTTTATTAAATCTGTATTACACAGATCATTTTCTCTAACCTCAATGCAATTAAATTAAAAACCAATAATAAAAGATCACTGACAAATATTAGGAAATATGAAATATTTCTAAACATAAAGATGTATAGAATTTTTATTTAGATATGTAGGGTTGAATAAAATAGTATATATAAAAATAGACAATGAGGCTCTACATAGTGAAGTGTAAGAAAAAAATCTACAATGAAACCAAAGCAGAATTTTGAGGAAAATTTGTAGCTTACAGTCTTAGAAAAAGAAGAAAGCTGTTTCTTAATTAACGAAAATTAATGAACTAAGCATCAGACGTAATGAGAGGAAGAACAGAGAAACCCAAATAGTAATTTTTGAAAAGGATAGAGATTAAATAATAAATCAATAAAATTAAAATAAGAATGCAATAAAGAGAAAAAAGCCCAAAGTAGCTTCTTTGAAAAATTGATAAAATTAACATACCTCTGGCAAGATTTATGAAATAAAAAGAGAGAAGGCAATATTGGAATAAATACAGAAATTTTAAAAATATTTTTAAAATTATGATAAACTTTATGCTACCAATAAAATTGAAATCATAGACAAAATTAATACCTTCCTAGAAAAAAAGATATCGTAGTAAAACTCATGGAAAAGAAAAAAGAAAAGCATGGACAGACCTAACATTAAAGAAAGGAAATTAGAAGTTTAAAACCTTCCCAAAGATAATAAAACATGCATATTTATCAAGCAAAAATGCATATTGTCAATTTTATAGGAAACCCCTACTGGGATGGATACTGCCAATCTCATAACAAATTTTCCAAAGAATAAAAAATTATAGCACCATCTTACTTATAGACATAGATACAAAAGTCCTATATAAAATAGTATAAATAATAACTAAATTTTACATATACATCTATATGTATTGTACAGGGTGGTCATAAAGTTCATGTGCAATTAAAATTTGCACACAAACTTTATGACTACCCTATATATGTATACATTATATATAAAATATACAGGATGTCTCAAAATCACCATACATAAGGAAAGTGGAAAGTTGCAACTAAATGTACTTTTATTTATAAAATATCCATTATAAAATCTTACAAAATATTCTTTACATGTTGGCCACCTCTGTAAAATTTCATAATTAATTAATTTCTAAATAAAGAAAAGGAACTCAATAAAAAAAATTCTTAAAGCACAGTAAATCACGGATATATCACACAAGAAACCCGAAGGGCTGATGGACATACAAAAAGAATCTCACCCTCACTAGTGAAATCATAAATTAAGTCCAAACATAAATTAAGTCCATAGTTAGGTGCCATTTCAAATCCTCATCAGAAATTATAAATAAAAACTCAGGGAGTTACAGAGCAGTGGGAACTCTTGTTACTGGTGGGATATAAATTGGTGCATTTTCCAGATCTATAGTTACTTAGTAAAATTATAATGTGCATCCCTCACACCAGCATTTCACACCAAGGTATATCACTAAATGAAACTTCAAGGAAACGTGAATAAGAATGTTCACAGCAGTAGTGTTTATATAGGAACAGACAAAAACTAACTTTAAACAGCTTCAATACCTACTCCACAAGACAATGGAGTAATAACACTTTGTATTACTTTTTGCCACAGTGAAGAGTGGTTGAGAGAGGCTTCTAGAGAGACTGTTTGAATTACTGTTCTCTGTGGGATTCTACAAGTCACTTTAACCCTCCCTGTGTCGTAGTTTTCTCATATATAAAGTAAAAATGCTCTCTGAAAAAGGACAGTGGTATAAAACAAGATACCACATGTAGAGTTTTTCTAATATTTGACAGAATGTTCAGTGCATGTAAATCATAGTTCTTGGTACTGGTGAGAGTACATGTTGCTGCCTTGAAGCAAATAATCTGGTTCCATGTGTCAAGATCAACAGCAATCCTAGCAATCTCAGATTTAGGAATGTGTCCAACAGAAATGAAAGCAGCAGGATATAAGGGTGTACAGACTAATTGCAACACTGCTGTAATACCCAAGTGCTGGAAACAGCCTGAAGCTCAATCAGTAGGAATATGGTTATATGTATTTATGGTATGCTGATGGAATATTAGGCAGCTTTAAAAAGTAATGAGTGATACAGAAGAGGCATTCTACATACTACATATTTATAGAAACATAGGGAAAGATATATCTCATTACTTGGAAAAATTGAATTGGAGGAGAGAGGGAGAAACCTTCAACTTTTTCTTTATATACCCTATACTGTTTGATTAAATTTTACTTGTATTATTTCTAATAAAAATCAAGAAACTCAGGCTTTGGAATAAGAAAAATAGTTTTTGTCATGGTTCTAACATTTATTGTCTGGGCTATCTGACTCAAATTCCTAAAATCATTTTGAAAACAGTCCATAATACTTACTGACCTTTCTCTCATTGTGCTAAGAGTTGGCTGAGATACTAACACTAAATACCATATGTTTAATGCCATAACATGGCCCTAAATATGTGCCAGACACGCTAAGTACTTCACACATGCTGATGAATTTTATTTTCATTTTATTTTCAACCTAATGAAATGGGAGCTGTGAATGTTTTAATTTTTCAGATTGGCAAACTGAGTAATGTGAAGTTACCTAGAATAAAATAATAGAGGGAGAACAGGAATTTGAAGAGTTTGCACAGATAACCAGTATACAGTGCTCACATGTAAGCACCAGGATCATACAATGGCTCTACTAAAAATAACTGCACAACTTGTCTGCTTGTGAGCCTGCCCAGGAACAGCTGGTAAAGTTGGTTATTGCTTAAGAATCCTTCCATCACATCATTTAGGAATTCTTCAGTTCACATACCTTGATAGCTCCTTAACATTTTCTTCACATCAAAGTAAAGCTCAGAGACATTGCACGTAGTATGAAGCTCTAAGGAAAAGACCTCTGGTGTTTCCAGCTTCACAGCCCAACTCCTAGAAGAAGCAGAGGCCAAAGACTTCTTCAGTGCCACATTCCATTCTGCTCTATATTCCTTCACCCCTCCTCTCCTGCATTCATACAGGACTTACCTGCTCAAAGTATCTTTCACATCCTATAAAGAAACAAAAACAAAAGTGAGCATGGGGACATCAAGCCACAAGATGGGCACTTGGGGGTGTTCTTTATACTCTTCCCAAAGAAGTAAAGCGAGCAAATACAGCCTTAGCTATTGACAGATACACAGATAGAATAATTTTCCACTAACTTCTGGAAGACTCAGCATGTCAGAATGTTTATCAACCTCTACATCTATTATCTTCCTGGCTGAAGACTGTGGGCTGCTTGAGGAAGATGGCCAGGAGCTTTGTCCATGCTCCCTCTGGCAACACTTGCTTTTGGTAAGGTAATTTCCTTCAGAGTAAGCCCATATTAGAGATCACTTATCACAAAGGTCCTTGGAGGTAAATTCATGCATAGCCCTGAGACTGGGTTACTAAGATGGTGGCTACCGGTATCACAGGATAGTGGAGCAGCCATGCTATACTCTCAGTCTTACGAAATAGCCACCAATTCTGTTAGCTGGAACCAGAATTAACAGCTCCATATGTTTATCTTAATGGACTAGGTCCTTCACACAGCTGTAGAATGCCCTGTAATAGCTCCAGAGCAAAGGCTCTACAAGTAAATCTGAAAAAAAAAGGTTATTAGTCACTTTGGCTGTCCCACTTTACCACTCATAAGTCACTTGGAGGAGTATTTCAGGAGGGAGTCTGTTAGGGTTCTGTGCATGTAAGCCAAGGGGTAAATGATGGCAAATATGATCCCATGATTCCATTTGGCCAAACTATTCATTCACAGGAAGTATATTTTTCTAATTAGCATAAATGTACCCTGTAGACTAGTAAAGGCCATCCTCTGATACTGATAAATAAATATTACTAAAATAAATATTGCTTTAAATTCCCTGCCCTAATGTGCTACTTTTGAGAGAAGGCAGGAAGGCCCTGCCAATCTTCCCAAGCTTCCTTACCATTCTCCTCTTAATAGTTCAGTAACAAATACATTCTTTTTCTGCTCCAAGTATACAGCCTCACCTCTAATAAATTCTGGGCTGAACCCTGACATTTTTCCTCCAGTTCCAGGATGTAGCTCTTGATTTCATGGCTCTTCTGCTCCAGATCAGCCTCCTGGGCCCTCAGTCTCTTCAGAGTCTGCTCTTCTTCTTGCTCCAGCTTCCAGAGGTAAAACTTCTCCTCGTCATGCAGGAAACTATGGAGAGTCTTAAAGTCAGAGTGGATTTTTTGTCTCTGAATCTGTATTTTCTCCTATAGACAAGAAAGTATGGTCAAAAAGGGGAAGCAAATCAAATATCCAGCTATAAATAAACACATAAACTGTGTTATATAGATACAACAGAAATATCATTCGGCTTTAAAAACAAATGGGCCAGGCACAGTGGCTCATGCCTATAATCCTAGTGCTTAGGGAAGCCAAGACAGGAAAATTTCTTGAGCCTAGGTATTAAAGATCAGAAAAAAAAACAACATAGCCAGACTCTATGAAAAGTAAAAAAATTAGCCAGGCATGGTGGCATACACTTGTAGTCCTAGCAACTCAGAAAGCTGAGGCAGGAGGATCTCTTCGGCCCAGGGGTTTAAGGTTACAGTGAGCTATGAGGAGTACGCCACTGCACTCCAGCCTGGGCAACAGAGCGAGACTCAGTCTCTAAAAAATAAATAAATAGAAATGAATGAACATCAATTACAACATGGGTGAATCTTGAAGATATTCTGCTAAGTGAAAATAAGCCAGAAACAAAAGGACAAATATTTTATTCATACATAGTATTTTGGATAGTTAAATTCATAGAGATAGAAAGTGAAATAGTTATTACCAGGTGTTGGGAAGAAGGGAGAATGGGGTGTTATTGTTTAACTGGTATTCAGTTTGGAAGATGAAAAGTTGTGGAAATAGATATGGTGATGGTTGAACAACAATGTGAAAGCACTTTAATGCCACTGAACTGGTAAGTTTTACTTTCTGTATATTCTACCACAAAAAAAAAGTATGATCAACTACTGTTGACATTATGACATAATGACTCCCAGGAGTCATTCAAGCTAGAAGACTATCCCGTTTCCTGTTGCAGTCATGCCTATAAGGTAGGCACTCAGATGTAGAAGTTGTCCCATAATTTCCATAATCACCTGGCTAATTTTTTCAGCCAAGAAAAGTGTGGCATGAGGACAAAGTTCAAACACTTTATCAATTATAAATATAAAAACAAGTTTAACAGCTCAGTGTGGTGGCTCATGCCTATAATCCTAGCACTGTGGGAGGCCAAGGTGGGTAGATTGCATGAGCTCAGGAGTTTGAGACCAGCCTGAGCAAGAGCGAGAGCCTGTCTCTAAAAAATAACTGGGTATTGTGGCAGGCACTTGTACTTCCAGCTATGTGGGAGGCTGAGGCAACAGGATGGCTTGAGCCCAGGTGTTTGAAGTTGCTGTGAGCTATGATGCCACAGTACTCTACCAGGGGTGACAAAATGAAATTGTCTTACAAAAAAAAAAAAATTAACTTGGAATATAAGAAAGTATCAGTATGATGGAATTTCTTCTTGAAGCAAAATCTTACAATATCACAAAGACTGGATTTTAAGACAACCAGGCTAATAGGAAAGCCCATAATCCTTGGCAAGGGGAGGTCTGGGTATGGCAGACTGAGAAATTATGGTTAACTGAGAAATATTCATCCACCAGTCTAGAGTCATCTTAAGCGTTCCTATATGTAAGACTGACAGAAGTCAAGTGATACTCTTAGGGGCTTAGCTTTCATTTGAAGAGATACAAAATTGTAATTTCCATTAGCGCTTTCTAAATTAATGCAGTATTTTGATGATTGTAATGTTGTGGTAGAGGGTTATAAATCTAGGGTGAAGTGGAATCTTTGTGTAGGACACAGGTGTAGCTTTTGCTCTTATATTGACAAGGTTTCCATGTTTGTTAGTTATAATCAAAGTCTTCCCCACAGCCCAAGATTCCAGAAATGAGAGAAGAGTATTCTTGGTGTGGGTGAAAGCTAGAGTAGGCTAGCATTCCCCCTGAAATCTCCAACAGGTTATGGCCCCAATTTTCAGCTCCCCACTGTAATGCCTATGATGGTGAAGGTGGGTTGGAATGTCCAGCAGAGTAGATGATAGTCTGGGAGATATCTAGTTAGAGATCGACAGCTTAGAGATTAAAAATATAAAAATAAGACTAGAAAGCAATTGATAGTTGCCCCTGTAGATATTCTGCAGCCTCAGGCACCTTGACTTGAAGGCTATAACTTTCTTTCATTAAATTTCCCTCACAGTATTCTTGACTTGTAGCTTAGTACTTCCTTGTCCTTCAGCCTCATAACTTTCTTCCCTACACAAAGAACTGCCTGTTTAATTAAAACATGAAGCTGCTACTTTTTTACTTACTTGTAAAAACATGCCCCTGATTCTCTAAATACATAGCCTTGGATACTGGGCTCAGGATGGTGCCTGTTAGCCTCAAGAGGGGTTGATCAGTTGTCTCTTATGGGTCAGCACGCTGTGTGTGTATGTGTGTGTGTAAATTTTGCAGCACTTTTTCGCCTTTTGTCCACCAGACCCTAGGCAGTTGGGCAAGGTTCCCACTTAGGGAGGAACCCCCAGTCCACTGCAATGTAGCTCGGTTCTCTGGTTGCTACAACTTGGGAACTCAAGATCAACATCTATAAACAAAAGGTTATGGCAGAGGTTGGAAAGGACTCCTAAAGGAGGAAAAATAGCTGACCAATGGGATTTGACTACAGACTGATGGATTATATAAGTATTTTCACAAAGGATTGTGTCTCTAATAATGTGGAGACTGGTCAGCCAGGGCAATAGTCTAAAAGACCCTATAGTTTAACAGTAGCAATTCTGTAGGCTTACTTATAACACAATGGATTTTCTTTATCAGCCCCATGGGCTTGAGTACTATGAACTGCAGTTTTGAATGATCCTATTTTCTTAGTGCTCACAAAGGTCCGTTCCTGAACCTATAAGGTTAAGATCCAGACCCTGCACTGTGGTAAATGTGCCAAGCTATTAAACTGAAGCCTGAAAACAGCAAAGTATCTTGAGGAATTTAAGTTTTGTTTGTTTGGTTTTTGTTTTTGTTTTTTTTTTTTAGACAGACTCACTTTGTTGCCCTCAGTAGAGCGTCATGGCATCACAGCTCACAGCAACCTCCAACTCTTGGGCTTAAGCGATTCTCTTGCCTTAGCCTCCCAAGTAGCTGGGAATACAGGTGCCCACCACAACATTCGGCTTTCTTTTTCTTTTTCTTTTATTTGAGACAGAGTCTCACTATGTCACCCTCTGTTGAGTGCAATGGCATCACAGCTCACAGCAACCTCCAACTCTTGGGCTTAAGCAATTCCCTTGCCTCAGCCTCCCAAGTAGCTAGGTGTCCACCACAACGCCTGGCTATTGGCTATTTTTTGTTGTTGTTGTTGCAGTTGTCATTGTTTAGCTGGCCCGAGTTGGGTTTGAACCTGCCAGCTTCGGTGCATGTGGCTGGTGCTGTAACCACTGTGCTATGAGCACTGAGCCTAGAGGTATTTAAAATTTGAAACCCAGTCAAAGGCACACCAATTCTACTGCTCTTGACTAATGTATCAGGAATCCCAGCCAACTATTATTCAAATAGTTGATGATACTTAGACAGGGTTGGTGATAATTTGTCATGGATGTAAACAACTTTGGGTTATAAACACAAATATGTTTATTTCTTTGGGTTTCATCTATTTAGTTGGGTTTAGTGAGAATAAGTCATCATTGTGCTTTACCCTAATCATCCCCATGCCTAAACTCTAGAATGGAAAATTACTTGAGAATTAAAGAACTCACATTCTTACCTTCCATTCAGTTATCTGCAAAGCTGTGGACACCTTCATGTCTATACATTCCTCTTCCAGTTTCTTCAAGTTTGTCACAGATTTCTGGAGCTTTTCCTGAGAGAAGAATTGGGTGCGTAAAATTTATTCAATTTGGCTCTTCATTAGGTACATAAGGGGAATTGCAACCTTCCAAGATGTGTTAGAATAACACTGAATATTTATTAAGTTCTCGCTGTTTTGCCAGGGAGCATGCTAAAGATGGTATGTTCAGTAATATATTGATCCTTTCAGTAACCTTGAACACAAGGTAAGATTTTTAACATCATTTCTGTGCTATAGAAAATGAGGCTTAGGAAGGGGTTGAATAACGAGCTTAAGAGTCTCTGTCTGGCAGAAAGTAGAGCTACCATGTACAATTGCAAGCTAATCTGCTGATTCAGAGCTTGAGCCATACCCACTACTACCCTCTTGACAGGGAAGATTTGCACCTAAAACAAGATAATAATCATCTAAAAGAGGATTTTATAAAACAATGTGCTGAACATAACTAATACCAGGACTGTTTGGCACATGTGGAGTATTGTATTATGGGTGAGTCAGAAAAAATCAGGGTACCAGAAGACGTTAACAGATGATGAGCACTCTGATATATTGAAGAACTGGTATCATAAAACCAACCTAAAATGATTGGTGTTCATATCAGGCTTTGGGTTATTTTTCAAAATATTAACAGTTTATCATATTTTCATTGAAAACAATCTGAAGCTGACCCAAATTGCTAATTGTGGTCATTACTAAAAGAATTGTTCCCTGCCCTCTGTAAACCCAACAGATGTAGTCATTAATTCTCATGTGTTCTTAGCAAAGGGCTCTATGTAACTGTTTTATTGCCCTTGCTATATGCTAAGTGCTCTTCTAGGGTTAGCTTATTTTAATGTCCTTAAAGGTTATAATTATCTCCTGGGTCTGGGTGTTAGAGAGGAAGGGGACTGCTATTAACTCCTTTCCGTTTACAGAACACAGAAAACCAAGGCAGTAAGCCTTAAGTAACTTGCCCAAAATTGCCTATCTGCAGAACTAAGATTTCAACCTCAGCAGTTTGACTTCTGAGGCTTATAACCATTACCCTGTGATGCTCCTTTTCTCACGGCTTGGTGAGGAAATAATTCAAATAGGAATATCCTCATTGCAATTGTTACCTGCTCTGTGGAATTTGAGGAAGAGCTTCCATGTGCTCAGTGGTGGTCAGAATGTTACTGTCCTTATGAAAGATTTAGAGCTTTCATACAAAAGCACCTTTGCCTCATGAAGGAGAAAACAAGGAGTTCCACAGCAGGGACAACATTTTCCTGGAAACTTGGTGAGATAGAGAAGGAAAGAGACAACAGGACTAATGCCCACTCCTTTATTCTACCACAGCAAAGGGCCACCTTCCTTTCTATGTTCTAGGGTAAAATTTAGGAGTTGCCCAAAACTTGTCCCTCTGCTAACACTCTGGCTTTTTTGGGGGGGGGGGGACAGAGTCTCACTTTGTCACCCTTGGTAGAATGCTGTGGCATCATAGCTCACGGCAACCTTAAACTCCTGGGCTAACACAATTGTCTTGCCTCAGCCTCCCAAGTAGCTGGGACTACAGGTGCCCACCACCACACCTGGCTAGTTTTAGAGATGAGGTCTCACTTTGGCTCAAGCTGGTCTCAAACCTGTGAGCTCAGGCAATCCACCTGCCTCAGCCTCCTAAAATGCTGGGATTACAAGCGTGAGCCACCACACTCAGCCTGCTATACCCTCTTCAACCAAGCATTTCTAAATCTTTGACATTTCTTCCTGAATCTTGCTTGAAACTGCCCTCTTTTTTCCCATCTTACAGGAATAGTTTGAATTTAATTCCTTGATATTCCTTTCATTTGGGGGATACCAAAGTGATGTTTTTTTTCTGAGACAGGGTCTCACTCCATCACCTGGGCTACAGTGCAGTAGCATCATCATAGCTCACTGTAACCTCAAACTCTTATACTCAAGTACTCCTCCTACCTCAACCTCCCAAGTAGCTGGGAGTACGGCACGTACTACCACACTTTGCTAATTTCTCTATTTTTTATAGAGATAGGGTCTCGCTATTCTGTTTAGGTTGGCCTTGAACTCCTAATCTCAAGCAATCCTCCCAATTTGGCCTCCCAAAGTGGTAGATTACAGGCATGAGCCACCACCCCAGAGTGATCTTTTCAATGTTACTGACCCTCACTCCCCAAGTGAAAATCCCCCCAGTGGCAGGTACCACTCTGGGCTAGGATTTACACTCTAAGCTTATTTTAAAGTTCTGGGGCCTGACTTTCTTCTCCATTCATCACTGCCCTTCTCTATTTTATACCCTGGTCACACAAGTCAGGAAGGCTCCCACACTGTGCCTTTTCACTTATGGTTGCCTCTACCTGGAATGCTCCACAGGTGGTTAATTTTTATGTGTCTTTCTGGAGTCACTTCTGGGATGAACCACTCTCTACTCCCTGTTGCCCCTCCCCACCACCCAAACCAGGGGACTCTGTAGGCAGTCATTTTTGCTGGCTTGACTTTTATACTAAACTGTGGGATACCTAAAAGGTAATGGGTCTTTTCCTCCTGTGTTTCCAGATTGTCTTGAACATTGTAGTTTCTCAAATTAAATACATGGCTTGAAGCACAAAAAGATATTGGTATTTGGTTTGAGGACAACCTGTCCTAGAGCAGGGAGAAGCTCATGACATGAATGGATAGGACAAGAGACCGACCATCCCAGCGTAGGTCAGGGTGGACAGTGTGGACTTGATTCAGCAAGAATCCATCATAAACTATTTTCCAAAAAAATGACATGATGAAAGCTGTATTTCAGAGTCATAAACTTAGGTTTCAGGCTAAGTAATCTCAAGCCTTTTGAGCAGCAGGAGACTAGTGAAAAAGCTCAGGAAATTTTATCCCAAAATATGACACCTTGTTATAAAGGGTATTTTGAATTAAAGGGCTTTAGAGATCAACAGGCCTTAGAAGGGGCTTTCTCTCTTTCTTCATAAAAAATCAGACCCATCAAAAGAAAAATCAACTTCCCTTCCTCTTCCCTCTTTGTTATCTCAACATATTACAGGAAAGAAGATAAAGAATGAAACCAGACCCAGCCCAAATAATTTTAAATATACCTGTCTCTCAGGTTAATTTAATTTGCAAAGAGAATCATTTACAAATCAATCTGTTTCCCCAATCCATTCATTTCCCACAAATAAGCCAGTCATCCTTCCTAGTAACTACTTATTGCCCCTAAATAGAATTACCCATATTCTTCATCTCCCCTTCCCTCTAAAATGAGGGCTTATAAATTTCTGGACCCCAGTGGGATGTCAGGGAATTACTCTGTGATTCCCTCCATGCTCATGATAAATAAATCTCTTTCTTTCATTAATCTGCCTTATTGTGAATTGATCTTTAAGTGAATTTTACAGGGTAGTGGGGAAATTTCCCCTTGCCCCCATTCACTTACCTTGTAGTCCTGGCATACATCCTCAACCAGAGCTGTGGTGTGATCTTTGTGCTTTGGTGTCCGTTCACAGCGCCAACAGATGAGTTGGCCCTCATCTTCACAGAACAGTTGGAGTGGTTCTCCATGTTCTTCACATGACTTTTCATGATCCATCTCTTTAATGGCTTCAATGAGGTTTCCGAGCTGCTTGTTGGGACGGAGGCTATCTGTGTGAAATGGGGCTCGACACTGGGGACAGTAGAATACCTTCAGCATCAGCTGATTGCAGCTTGACTTCTTAAGGAATTCCATTATACATGAGTGGCAGTAGCTGTGGCCACAATCAATGCTCACTGGGTTAGTCATCAGGTTTAGGCAAATGGAACAGTTGGCTTCCTCCCTCATCTTCTTGGAGCTAGTGGCTGAGGCCATAATTTTTCTTGAACAACTTCAGTATTGGATCTGGAAATAGAGATAAAGCAACCAGAATTTTCCACAGGGATAGAAATAAACCCCACCTGCACTTTTGTGTGATGAGCTGGCTGCTACTAGCCTCCAGAGGTCTGGAAAGGTCAACATAAATGGAAGAAACTGAGGCAAAATTAATGTAAGTAGAGAATTTATTTGGGCCAAGCTTGAAAATAATAAGCCAGAAACATAGATGCAAGTTTCCTAGAATATATCGATAGTTACAAGTGAAATTTCACTTTTTTTGAGAGAGAGAGTTGCCCTCAGTAGAGTACCATGGCCTCATAGCTCACAGCAACCTCCAACCCTTAGGCTCAAGCGATCCTTTTACCTCAGCCTCCCAAGTAGCTGGGACTACAGGCACCAGCTATAACGCCTGGCTATTTTTGGAGACAGGGTCTTGATCTTGCTCAGGCTGGTGTTGAACCTGTAAGCTCAAGCAGTCCACCCGCCTCAGCCTCCCAGAGTGCTAGGATTACAGATGTGAGCCACCACGTCTGGCCTACAAGCAGACCAGCCTGAGCTAGAGGGAGACCTTATCTCTACTAAAAATAGAAAAACTAGCGGGGCATGGTGGCATATGCCTGTAGTCCTAGCTACTCAGGAGGCTAAGGTAAGAGCCTTACTCACTAGACCGCAAGGGTCTGAGTTGCTGTAAGCACTAATGACATGGCACTCTACCCAGGGCAAGAGAGTGAGACTCTGCTGCAAAAAAAAAGAAAGAAAGAAAGAAAAAGAAAAGGAGATGGGAGAGGCAAAGTAACTCATTTCTAATGTTAGACTTACTTTGTCTAGGAGGACATAACCGCCAGAGGCAGTGGAGGAGTGACTAGGAACAAAGGAATCTTTGTCCTTTGCCTTCTATTGTAGCTGCTTCTGAGAACCTAGCCATGTTCTCCCTGTACCCTGCCCCCCAACTCCTGGGACTTTTTATCTGGGAGTGGGGCAGAGTAGGGAGGAAGTTTGGAAAGTGCCCTTTCCTTTGAAATAACAGTGTGTAAAATAAAAGACAGGAATTCCACAATAGTTACCAGATAGGCTGTTTCCTCACACAAACAAGACGTTTCTTGGAGCCACACAGAACGCTTTCTCGATGATGTCTATTCCTTGGCAGGTTCTTTCTCTCTTTCTAAGGCCCAGGGGTGCCTGTTCTGGGCTTTGCTCATATTATACTACAAATCTTCTGAGATTTTGCGTGGAATCTGGTGAAAGAGAAAGCAAACAAGGAGTGAGCTGTAAGGCAAAGTCCTGATCCTTTTCAGAGCTTCAGGGGTCTTGCTGTCAGAAAATGTATTCTCCACACCACCCCCCCAACTACCCCACACTCACATGTCCACCAAGTAAACGTTGGTCTGGAATTTTTCCACAAGCTTCCCAAGTTGGACAGTCATATATTTACTGCTAGTCCGGTTGTAGCTGCCACTTCCTGAGGCCTGGGTGAGGAAGTAAACTCAGACCTGATTAAACTTGAAAGTGAAACTAATGTGGTAGGTGGGGCCTATAAGATTGACAAGAAAACTAGTAACATTATTCATACCTTTTGCACTCAGACACTCAGCTTCTTCTGAAAAAGAGGGGAGAACATCTGAAAAATACCTTTCTTGACAGCAATAGAAAGAAAGGACAAATTAATAACCCAGTGTCTAAAAGCAGGAAGCCTGAAGAGAGTCGATTCATAGACTCAGATTTAAGAGCATTATTCTTTTGCCAGCTCTCTTGGGAATGCATCCGATGATGTTAATTTTTGCTAGTTCCAGGTTACTTATCATTTTACAGTTGTTCTGAAGGGTGTGATGGAAACAGAGGCCTTAATAGCAGTGGGGCTCATTGGCATTACAAAATTCCTCCAAGTCAGCCTCCTGTTCTTCTCTGCCCTGTTGCTGTGTTTCACTTTCCCCCTCCTTGTTCCTCTACAGAACTAAAATACTTTTTTTTCCTTTCTTTCTTTCTTTTTTTTTTTTTTTTGTAAAGACAGAGTCTCACTTTGTCGCCCTTCAGAGAGTGCCTTGGCATTACAGCTCACAGCAACCTCCAACTCCTGAGCTTAGGCGATTTTCTTGCCTCAGCCTCCCGAGTAGCTGGGACTACAGGCACCCACCACAACACCTGGCTATTTTTTTGTTGCAGTTTCAGAAGGGCCGGGTTTGAACCCGTCACTCTGGGTATTTGGGGATGGCGCCCTACCCACTGAGCTACAGGTGCTGCCCAGAACTAAAATGCATTTCAATAGCTAGCATCACTCACCCAGGACAGGAAATGGGAGTCACTAATGGCCCAGCAGTGAGTGCCATCAACTAGGACATGGGTATGACTATAGGGGTTAGGGGAAATTTGCCCTGTCCCTTTAAAGTTTTCCCCTGAAAGCTGAAAGACCAATGCACAATTAAGGCAGATTAATAAGATAAATGATTATTTCCAAATACTATGCACATGGGAGAATCGTAAGAGTGATTATCCAGTATCCCAATGGAATTCAGATGTTTTTATACCTGCTTTTTAGAGAGGAGGAGGAGATAAGTACGGGTAATTTTGTTTAGGGGTAACAAATGGTGTTAGAAAGGATTAGTCAGTGATTTTCAACTGGTGTGCCATAAAAGGATCTCAGTTATGCTGAAAACAGTTTTAAAGATCATAAATTAAATTATTTTGAAAAGAAGTTCAAAGCAAGTGCCAAAGAAGATGAAATATTTAGGAGTCTACCTAACAAAGGATGTGAAAGATCTCTATAAAGAGAACTATGAAACTCTAAGGAAAGAAATA